TGCCATATGCATGCCTTTTGATAATTATAGGCTTTGTCTCTCAGTTGATAAGACCAGAATGTAAAATGACCTGAGAATGACAGTGCAGATCACTGGAAGGTTTGCATTAAAGTAGTTTGTACATGTTTAGAGATAAACACATTTCTGGTTGCGTAACCTGCATATGACTAAGTTTTGGGAAAAGGTTGACTGTGTACACTCTGATTCTGATTTTCAATAGACCAATCTATCAAGCTCATCTGTGCATTACCAAATAAATAAATAAATAACAGTGGGAGGAACCCTGAATGACTTTCATTTCAGGCAAATGAAAGACAAACTGTTTTAAGTGATTGACTATTAATGGAAATTCATGTGTATACTTGTGGAAGCACATGAAAATTAGATAGTCAAAATTAAATAAACACACATTAAATCTTACCTGAGCAGGTGTTCTGCTGTCTGACAATTGCTCCCATGAGTGAGAATTGACGGGTAAGAATGTAATATTAATTTTATGTTTTGATGTTTGCATATAGTTTTATTTGAGTAGTGCGGTCAAGAAACAATTTTAGTGAAAAAATTCAAAGATCAAACAAACACACCAGTTGCTCTGAACTATGAAAACCACTCCTTACACTATAATTAACACTACAACATACAGAAAATATCAGACTGTAAAGTGTATCTGAGTCACTAACTATATGTGTGACACTGTAAATATTAGCACAGACCTTGCCTGTGAACATGTAAAGTTGTACAGGCAATAGTACAAAATAATACCAATGTAGATTAAATGGTGTTCCAATCAAGAGAGTGACATCCCATCATTCATTTCTAATTGTAATGGCAGTATAAGTGCACATAATTGGAAAACAAACTGTGGAAAATACTTGCTTCATTTAATATGCCACACTCTTAGGTTTTCAGTTTGTATTTGAATTAATAGACTCAAAGCAGGTAGTAAATGTTGCAGCAATTGGTAACAGCAGTTATGTCAGTAATTTATTGTAATTGCTCATCACCTACATGCTATAAAAGAGGCATCAAGCATATTTCTCCTTTTAACCATGGTGCTAACATTTTCAGTGTAATCCAAGAATTTGTCTTAATGTCTCATATTTGTTATTATTGTTTGTTGTTTTTTTCTAAATAAAAATTGTTTAATTAAAAGAACATGTTGACATTTATTTTATAAGCTCACAGAAAGCAACACATTTGAATGAGGCTGCTTTATCAACATGACAAAGTGTAAGAAAGGCCAGTTACTGTAAAAATGTTAGCAGGATTATTGGGTCACATGTCTCCTGGTTGACACTTCTAGTATGGATTCTAATAGTGACCTACTTGGCTGATGACATTTCTCTTCATAAAAGGAGATTGATACCAGCAACACTGAAAAAATAACACAATACAACATGTGAGATGCTATGCTTAGGCATATTTGTTGTAAAAATCACATTCTGTGGGCAGTTATGTGGTCCAGCTTTAAAATGTAGGTCACATTTGAAATAATTATGTTATAAAACATATGTTTGGTTGGTCAGTTTAATCCTCAAATATCAAAAGTCATCATGATAATTGTGTTAACATTCATAGGGTAATAATTGCCTGGAAAGCCATTGTTTTTGTAATCAGGTTACAGAGGACAATCAGCATAAGAGATACCCAAGCTTGGCACACTAAGTTCATAATAAAGAATACACAAGATCAGCCCTTTACAATCTCTCGCTGTACAATTCCTGTCATTTAAGATATCTCTTAGAAATAAGGCTCCTTGCCAACTGGACAAAGTGGGCAAGGAATACAGGAACCCAGAGAGCCCCAGGGATATCCAAGTGCAAATTTAATTGAACATTTGTTTTGGAAAATGCACCTCTGAAGGACAGTATCATGATAAAGTCCATAATACCTAAAACTTTTGCATAGTATTGTAAATATGAAGACAGCAAAGTTAAAATCGCTAAAAGAAATACTTCTGAAAATGGTTATCCGTGAACTTTAATGAAACCTCGGAAACCTCACAGTTCACATCGCGAATGGGTATCACCGCTTTAGGCGATTGTGTTGTGAGGAGAGATGCTGATGCTGCGGTGGGAGGGCTTCCGGTTAGATATTGTGCGCATGCGTACATCTGTTTGCAACATCATTTTTCTTTGTGCCAATTTAAACAACTAGCTTGATCAGATTTAAGGAAATAATCAGCGGTAAGTGGTGTTATTAAGATAGATTTAATATGGCTTTGCACTGTTGCTATTGTTGACGGTAAAGCCACGCGAGTCTCACCATACATTACGTATTTCTGTAACGATTATTCATAATTATTTTGGCGTTAGTTAGCAACCGCAGCTAACGCGCTAGCCCGCTTCATAATAGTACAGCAGCCAAACTAATTTGCACGATCCCTGATCCCTTTTCAGTTTAAATAGCTGATAGAATCTTGGTATAAGATTTATACAACAGTACTGGTTATTGTGGTTGATATAATGTCATTGTTTATAAGATTTTCTGTCCCCTCTGATAGCATTTTTGTTACTGTTGATCCATCGGTCTGTGTTTTCATATGTGTCTCTAGACCATAGAAAGTAATAGGCTAATAATCCCAAAACAACTTTTCAAGTAATACGACAAATATACAGTTAATGCTTCCAGTTGTAAAAGTTTCATTTTTGCGATAGTAAAGGAAATATCTTTAAATATCTTTTTGTTTTGGAAAGCTGCTAAAACAAGCGATTGGTCAACATCACCTTGGGCTTTAGGAAACTGTGATGTGTATATTGCACTATTTTCTAACATACACCAAATTACTAAATCAAACAAAATAATAGTTATTTTTAGCCCCAGTTCTTCCAAATTTTGGCTTCTGAAAAAGGCTTTATTTTGTGTGTCAGTTTCTCTCGACATGACATCACGTGTAGGTCCCAGAGCTGCTGGCACCAATGGAAGTGATTTTAAACATAGAGAAAAGGTGGCTCCACATTACCAAATGAGGCAAGTACATTTTACCTATTTCTGATAACACTCATTAATTGTAAATGTTATCTGCAAATGGCAATAAATACTTCTAACACATCATGATTGTCTGCTTTCTGTTTTACAGTGCATCCCTGAAGTCAGAGGTCCGGAAGTTAAACCTGGTCCATTTCCTCATCTGGCTCTTGGTGGCAGCACAGGTGACTGTCAGCCATGTCAACCTGGTGTCACATGACATAGTCTCCATGCCATACCAATGGGAGTACCCCTACCTCCTCAGCCTCCTCCCTCTGCTCTGTAGCAGCCTGTCACTTCCAAAGAACAATATCAGTTACCTGGTTATATCCATGATCAGTGCAGGGCTGTTCTCTATTGCACCTCTTATTTATGGTGGAATGGAGATGTTTCCTGTAGCACAGCAGCTCTACCGCAATGGAAAGGCCTATCGCTTCATTTTTGGCTTCTCTGCAGTGGCTGTTATGTACCTCATCATGGTGGTTGCTGTTCAAGTGCATGCCTTGCAGTTATATTACATGAAAAAGCTGTTAGACTCATGGTTCAGTGCCACTCAGGAGAAGAAGAGGAAATAGCAGAGTGAAGACAGCTGGGACTGGGCAAAACTGTGTTTTATCAATAATTCATGAGTTAGGAGACATATGCTTGTCCACTTATTTATGCTGTGTTACCATTTACCATCAGTTTTTAGAAACTGGCACAACTGCAAAATTGTATAAGCTGTACAATTTATGGAAGAACTTGATTTTATGTTTGTTGGCCCCCATTATTAATGATTGAATCAAGTGAGACATCAAATCACATAAATAAACACTGGAATTCAATTACTTTCCAACCTTTTCATCGCTGAGTTTGAACTGCTATTTTTGTCCATGTACAGAAAGAGGTCACTTAGGAGCAGGACATGGTTGTCATCCGTAATAAAATGATGCTGTTATTTGAACATAATAGATGTAGAGGTGCCTTTAATACAAGGTGTACTTAATACAAAAGGGAAGGCCTATACAGTTCTGACAGTACTGTGAAAATGTTTTTGGCACTTTAGATGTTTGCAGTAGATTTTTATCCTAGAGCAGTTTCCCAACTAGAGGGCTGAAGATTCAAATCACAGTGCCTGCAGTCCACATGTTGAAGTGTCCTTGGGCAAGACACTGAACTCCTAAGTCGCCCCTGATAATTAGAGCCATTGGTGTGAGTTGGCGCCGCAGATGGCTGCCTTGGTTCTATACCAGAAACAAATTCCTTGTGTATAACATACTTGGCCAAATAAAGATGATTATCCTTATCCTTCTGTGAGGCATCTAATTGGTCCCAAATTCATTTTGCAACATAGAAAAAACCCCAAAACATATAGCCAGAATCATAGAGAGCTATCTTCAGTGACAAGAAGAAGAAAGACAGTAGATGGTCTGGCCCCGACAGAGCCCTGCTCTCAACTTCATGCAGTGTGATTGTTTTGATCACTTTGCAGTGCATACAGTGCCTGCCAAGTACCTTGAGAAACTTTGGAAGTGTACCCAGGAGGATTGTTTTAAAAATGGGTGCTCACACCAAATATTGTTTTGATTTAGTTTTTCTGTTTGTATGAAGTTAGTTAATAAATTAATTCCATTATTTTTGCAAGCATCCGTGCTTTACTTTTAGTGCCTAAAATGTTTGTGCAGTACTGTAATTTTGCTTAGGAATATCTATTTATGTATTAAAGGAAGTGGTTTATTGCAGATCTGATGATGTCTCCTTCATTAAGTCTACCTCTTACAATATGTTATTTTGCCAAAGGGCATTTAAGCCATTACAAAAGCAAGGTGGTAATCACATTATGTACCTGTACTGTTGTCAGTACTGTCTGTACTGTTTTCAGATGTTCTCATTCAGCATTAGAAACCAGCCTATGTATGTGACTAAATATGCACTGTAAACCAAATAAAGGTATGCTTTTCAACTATAAATTTGTATGTTTGAGCTACAACGTACTTTGTTCACATGGTCTGCGGCTGCGCGTAAAGAATGCCACGTACTGGTTGACGCTGACAGTTTGGAGGATTCTTCCTGATGCTGGTACCTAGTTAGGATAGCTAATATTTGTCCACGGTTTTGGAAAAACCTGTGAAGTACAGCGCGGTCAAGTCGTCTGATTAAGGTGAAAGACTTTCTTGGGGTAGGGTTTCAACTGTATTATAGTTTATTTTAACCATATTGCAGTTTCTGCCCTATCATTGTTTGACTGCTATGTTGCTAGCTAACAAGCTAACGCTAACTAACTAACTAACTAGCTAGCGAGCTAATGTAATGAGCTACGCTAACATTAGCTCGCCCAGGCGGCTGTTAAGACTGATTAGGGAAAGTTAGTAACAAATATATGTAAAGTTAATAGCATATTCATATTTAAGGTAACGCCAAATTGAAACATTACGGCTATAAGAGTATGTTGACTTTCCGAGCTCTGAATGTTAATTAAAGGTAAATAAGTTACTTGTTAATATAAATTACATAGGAAACAGATTTTTGCTGACCATTTGCTAAAAGGTGAAATGAAGACACAATTTAACTGCAACCCGTGCAGCTGTACAGCTGAATATTAACGTTAACTATGTTATTGCTCAGCGTGTCACCGTTAATACGGCAGTGTTGGAACGGCCTAGCACACGTTAGCAATTACTGTTAATGGGTCACGGTAGAAAATAGCACTTTGCTGTCCTCATATAGTAGAACTGTAGCGAGCTAAACGTTAGCTACCTCGGAAACATTGCATCCAGTCATCCTCTGGCTAGGACAGGCTAAACCGTAGCATTTCTGGAATTACATTCACAATAGAAACTATTTTATTCAGTTTAGGCCATGAGCAGGTAACGACGTAGTCAGTCCGACTTTGATTACACACAACTACACAAAATACGTGCTAAATTACCACACTGTTGAGGCAAACATAACGTCAGTGTTTATCAGATTACAGTTATAATGCAAGTGTCTGATTGAATAAAAAACAAAATCTGTGAGTTTCACTCATCTGGTATGTACGTGAACACATTATGATTATTATTATTATTATTATTATCTTATTATTGTTAAGATTGATCAAACCTGGTTGAAAGCTTTGATTCTTTTATCAAACCAATTCATTATTTGGGCCAATGTCTATAAGGAGGTCTACAGTAGCACAGAATAATCTTTGCCACCTCACTGGGTGATGTTTGACCCTTAGACTCTGCAATTAAGATAAAACGGATGTTGTTTCAGAGGGGGAGGCAGTTTGATGCAGTCTCTAGAGTGAAGTAAAGCTCTGTTGTCCACTTGCTTTAAAGTATGGTAATGTCAGTACCTAGGAGCTGCTAATTTCATTGTAATCTCACAGTTATTTAAATTTTAATTATATATAATTGCTCCCACAGCAACCTTTCTGTCTTACCTGATGCCTCATATTGACTATAATGATGAATACATTTTGTTAATTTTTTTTAGTTAATGTGTAATGGTATATCACACTTGGGTGGATAAACCAGGCTTTTTCAATGCTTGTATCTTAATTTTCACTGGGTTCTGTAAAGCATAAAATCACACTAGGACAGATACATACTGTATCTACTAAGCAACTGTGGGTAAACTGCATAGACAAGTACTGTTCCTAAAGGTTTTTATTATACAAAAACTGGAATGGGCTGTAATTGACACAGAGACAGAAGGGAAGCTGGGACAACAGGCAGGTTGATTGATTGATTTGCAGGCTGATTGACCTCACCTTTGACTCCATTAGGCTGTGGGAGCTGGACAGGTCGGACGGTACCATGAATGGCCAGCTGGACCTGAGCGGGAAGCTGATCATCAAAGCCCAGCTGGGCGACGACATCAGACGCATCCCTATCCACAATGAAGACATAACTTATGATGAGCTAGTACTGATGATGCAACGTGTCTTCAGGGGCAAACTGCAGAGTAACGACGAGGTTACAATCAAATACAAGGATGAAGGTGAATCCGGACATGACCTCTTTGTCCTAACTGAATTTAAATGTTGACAATAGGCCAGCTTATTTATCATAAGCTAGTGTGTAGTTTATGATACTAATGACTTGATTACATCACTTGGTCACTTGACCATTTAAGCGCAATAAAAGAATCAAGTTATTTGGTATCTTAACATATGTTTTCTTTGTAGGTGATAAGTTTATATACAGTGAATCATTTGGTCTCTTTTTCCTCCCCTTTTTATAGATGATGACCTCATCACCATCTTCGACAGTTCTGACCTCTCCTTTGCCATCCAGTGCAGTAGAATACTCAAACTAACTTTATTTGGTAAGATACTGAAGCATTTCCTTTGTGTTGCTCCTTCAGGAATGTATAGTCATGCAAGTAAAGGCTTCCTTGAAGAGTGTAAAATTCAACCCTGCAGAAGTTTAGTGTTTAATCATATGATGGCATCATCATGTAGATCAAGATGGTTCACATCAGCTCTTGCAGCCACCGGTCACTGGAGGGCAGTCCAGTTTATGTTTCATACAAGAAACCTTAGTGTTCAAATGGAAGTTGTCTGCATTCCCTTCCGACTGATTTTGAGTGGAATTTTGTTGTGTGTGTGTGTTGCTAAGTTCTGGTTCAGAAAACAGTGTGACACATAATAGGTGGTTTGCATGACAAAAGGTCTTTGTGGCAGTTAAACTGGTTCCTGAACTTAAATTAAAATATGTTTCAGCCCTACTAAGACAACAGTCATTCAGTAGCCCCGCAGCCTTTAGCAAAATAAACGTTCATTTCAGTTCTGATGCCTGCAACACATTCCAAAAAAAATTGGGACAGTAAAGCAATTTACTATGGTGTGAAGTCGCCGTTCCTTTTCATAATACTTAAAAGACATTTAGGACACAGAGTGATTTAGTGTGTCAGTTGTACTTTTGCCCATTCTTTCTGAAAACAAGTCTTAAGGTGCACAGAAGTCCTGGGTCTTCATTGACACATTTTACATTCCAAAATGCACCGCGCATTCTCTATTGGGGACAGGTCGGGAGTGCAGGCAGGCCAGTCCAGCACTGGCACCCTTTTCCTCTACAGCTATGCCTTGGTAATGTTTTGCTTTGACTTGTATGTATGGGCGTCCCTGGAAAAAAGACGTCATCTTAAAGGCTGCATATGTTCCTCCAGAATCTTTATGTATTTTTCGGCATTAATGGTGCCATCACAGATGTGTAACTTACCTTTGCCAAGGGCACTGACACCATGGCCACGTTCACACTGCAGGCTGAAGTGACTCAAATCCGATCTTTTTGCCCAAATGTGACCCATATCCAATTTCCTTATGACAGTGTGAACAGCACAAATCCGATTTTTTCAAATCAGGCCCAGGCCACTTTCATATGCGGTCCTAAATCGGATACATATCCGATGTTTTGCAATGCGACTTCAGTCTGAATGGCCATGTCGCATTTCATGCAATTTTTATGTCATTGAAATGCGACAGATGTCACAATTCTGCGCTAGAGGAGGCGAGGCCATAAGCAATATTTGTGCTCTCCTCCTTCTTGATGTTCTTATTATTTCTTTATTTCGATTGCACATTAACTGGTACATCGCTACGCACATGCTATCACGAGCCGCATCCATTTTTATTTTTGCAAACACAGTATGCTACGTCTGACGTCATGTCCTTTTTTGCGCATGCGGGTCACCTCAGGGCCGTATACCGTTCACACATGAGACAGATGGCAGTCACATTTAAATGACAGTGTGGACAACAGCGCAAAAAAAATCGGATTTCGGCAAAAAATCTGATCTGAGCATTAAGACCTACAGTGTGAACATAGTCCATGACAGACCCTCTGTGATTGTCCATCCCAGATGCCTCTGAGCCCAGAGCAGTCGACTGTGCTTCTGGACACTGTTGACATAGGGCTTCCTTTTGGCACGGTACAGTTTCAAGTGGCATTTATGGACGCAGTTACTGTATGTATTGTAGTGCCTGACACAGGTGCCAAACTAATCTTGAGCCCATGTGGTTATATCCTTTTATAGAGGAGTGACAATTCTTGATGCCATACCATAGAGGGTGACATATCCAAATCCCTTCCTATCTTTTTTTGAGGAACATTGGTTTTAAGCATTTCAATAATTTTTTTATACGTACGTTGGCAAACTGGTGCTCCTCAGCCGATCTTTGCCCCTAAAGGTTTAGACCTTTCCTGAATGTCAATTTTGTACCAATTCATGATCGCAGTCACCTGTTGACATCACCGGTTTCAAATGGAATCATCATTTCATTGTTTTACCTCATTACTGGCCCTGAAATCAACCGACCCAACTTTTTTTGGAATGTGTTGCAGGCATCAGAATTGAAGTGGGTGTTTATTTTGAACAAAGAATAAAACTGATAAGGTATCACATCAAATAATGGTCTGCTGTATTGTTTTCAATGTGATGCAGGACACCACATTACATTACAATTTTCTGTTTGAATTTTGATTTTACATACCGTCCCAACTTCTTCTGATTTGGAGTTGTAGATGAATGAATTGCATCTCCAAAAACAACCAGTAGGCCTCACCCTAATGAGACAGTGTTTTTGTCTGTAAAAACATAGCCTATGTTGCATAAAATTCTATTGAAATTTCAGGGTTTTACAGGACTAATTAAAAAAGTAGTGCATTACTGTACTCGGAGTATAATGGCTTGAAAAGGAATAATGGCATACAGCCCTTTATGTTCTTTTGGCTCAGCAGTGGTTTTCGTCTTGGAACTCTGCCATGCAAACCATTTTTGCCCAGTCTCTTTCTTATGGTGGAGTCATGAACACTCACCTTAACTGAGGCAAGTGAGGCCTGCAGTTTTTTGGATGTTGTTGTGGGGTCTTTTGTGACCTCTTGGATGAGTTGTCGCTGCGCTCTTGGGGTAATTTTGGTCGGCTGGCCACTCCTGGGAAGGTTCTCCACTGTTCCATGTTTTCGCCATTTGTGGATAATGGCTCTCACTGTGGTTCGCTGCAGTCCCAAAGCTTTAGAAATGGCTTTATAACCTTTTCCGGACTGATAGAGCTCCATTATTCTCTTTCTCATTTGTTTTTGAATTTCTTTGGCTCTTGGCATGATGTCTAGCTTTTGAGGATCTTTTGGTCTACTTCACTTTGTCAGGCAGGTCCTATTTAAGTGATTTCTTGATTGCGAACAGGTGTGGCAGTAATCGGGCCTGGGTGTGGCTAGAGAAATTGAACTCAGGTGCGATAAACCAGTGTTAAGTTATGTTTTGAAAGGGGGGGGAAACACTTATTCACACAGGGCTTTGTAGTTTTGGATTTTGTTTTCCCTTAATAATAAAAACCTTCATTTAAAAACTGCATGATGTGTTTACTTGTGTTATCGTTGACTAATATTTAAATTTGTTTGATGATCTGAAACATTACAGTGTGACAAACATGCAAAAAGATAAGAAATCAGTAAGGGGGCAAATACTTTTTCACACCACTGTACATGTCAGCTTCATGGGTAATGAGTGCTTTTTGTTTAGGTTCAGTATTGGAGCTAAGATTATAGAAAGAGTTTTTACAGACATAAACTAACACTCAAATTCCCTTGTTAGTATGTTATAATATTAAAAGATATTAGTGAATTAGTCTTGAATAGAAGTAAGATAAAGTTTATATGCAGCACATTGTTATGAATTGAATTGTACTGATAAAATATGTTGTTTGGGATCGTTTTATTTCAACCACAGCAAATATACATGCCCATATAAGGCCATATACACCACATGATTTTAATGCGCTAATGTCAAAATACAGCTTGATATATTGGCGGACTGTATCTGCTGGCAGGCTGTTTCTAGCTTGCATGTGTTTTTGTTCGTGTTCCCTGTGTCGTAGAGTTCAGATGTTGGATAATCTAAATGGCATTTCAGAGCCAGGAAGGGAAGTTTTGGTAGAGATTTGAGTATGGAATATAACCAAAAATAAACAAGTCAAACTTTAAGATGTGTAGTCTGCAGAATATGGCAAAAGTAACAAGATTCAAAGCCAGTGTACGCATTATACAAATTTGATCATCTAATCATGATTTGAAATGATAAATGACTCACACAAAGTTAAAATACATTAACACACACTCAGTCTACTCTTGAATTAGTAATGACAGCATGATGATGTTTCATATGCTCTGTTCCCACCTCATCCATCCCCCTGTTGCTATTATCGGCCAGGGAGCTGTAAGAAATTTTTTTTATTAAATAAAATTTTACTTTTCTGAGAGTTCAGGCTCATCATCACACATGACCTCATGCGGATATTACATCCTCGGACATATTGCGATTCAAAGCAAGCAGCAGTTGCTGGATTCTCTTGGCAGCCATGTCTTGGCGCAGTGCCTCATGACCCCATGTGTGTCTGTTAAACAGAGAGACTTGTCTGAGAAATGCATTTGTTCTTTGACATTGATCATTTCACTCCTTAATCAAGTTTGATGGCGGAAAATAAAGGTAGTTACTGACCTCTGTGGGGCATATGATGTAGGACTAAAGACTGAGCTTTGTCTTGTGTATTCTGCATGTTGGCAAGCTGGGTGACAAACCACTGCCCTCATTCCCACTGTTCCCAGCTCCATTGTTAGTGAATGGCTTGTTGGGTGGGGAGGGTGTGGTGATGATGATGACAAAGCTCTTGATACCCTCTGTCAGTCTGGCTGCTGTTGTGAATGGCTTTGTGAAATTAATAATGTAATAGATGATCCCTGTAATCTCAGGTATTCAGAGTGTGAAGCTCAGGGAATTTGGACAGATCATCATTCATAATGCACACATATGTGTGTAGAATTAACTGCTTTTCCAGACCAGTGAGCTGCAGAATTCACACCAGCTGTATTTATTTTACATTAAATGTTACTGTATGTCATAGTGCTGTTTTTCTGTACTAACTAACTAGGTTACAGATGTATGCAAAAACAAGATGTGCATGTAGGACAACCTAAAAAAAAGCTCAGTATGATCAGCCTACATGTGTAGTACAGAGTCTCTTGGAGTATGAGGCTGTGCTGCTTGATATTCCTGTCAAATTTTGTTTGGGTTACTATCAGCTGGGGTATTGAAACATTCTGTACGGTCTGACCCAGATATTCATAGGAGCTCATGGTTTATAACTCAGTTGTAGACCAAGATTTTCATGAATGAGCATAGAAAGTTCAAGACAGCATTGCCCCGAGTGTGAAATGATCATATAAATTTGTTCTAGATTCAGAAATATACAAAATATCCCATTAAAAATGGTACAGATAAAAAGAATGTTGTGTTCTGTAAAAGCAGTCAGGCCTCAGGTTCTCTCCGTTACCCACACTTGGGTCTAAAAGACAAATGGGTTGGCTGTGCAGAGAGATGGAACAAATGTTTGACTTTGCTTAAGCACATTTCCCAAATATCACTGATTTGTTTGACTAGCTCATTTGGGTCCTCTTCATCTTATTATCCACAGTGAATGGTCAGCCACGGCCTTTGGAGTCCAGTCAGGTGAAGTACCTGCGCAGGGAGCTCATTGAGCTCAGGAATAAAGTCAACAACCTCCTTGATAGCCTGGAGCCCCCCACAGAGCCTGGTCTGGCTGCTACAGCACCTGACAGTGGTAAGTAACTCCCATACACACACGTACTGTGCAAAAGCAGGGTTCATCTTTAGTCTGCCATCTGGCACTGTGCTGAAACAAACAGGTGGGTTTGTCTTGTAGAGTCGGATTCAATAGTTACAACTAGGGCTGGGCGATTCTTTCGATTTTTTTTCGATTAATTCAAATTTACGTTTTAATGCGATTTTTTTTTTTCTTAAATTGAGGTATTGCGATTTTAAATTATAATAAAAAATAGATACATTATCATTGCACCAATGGCAGAATAATTAAAAGGCAATATTTTCCGACCACATGATGGCGCGCCTAATTAACCGCTTACGTGTGAGAGCACTCTATGAAGGAACGTAATAGGCTATAGAAAAACATCATGGAGATGGGTGGCTCTTCACATCAAGAT